ATGGTTCTATGATATTAATGGAGTTGGCCTCATTAAAAAATTTAAAATTAGATTAAACCAAATCATCTGAGTCCAATTTCAGTGATTTAGCAGGCTGGTAACAAAAGAGTATAAGGGATTTTTCTCCTTCCTTACTGCATGCCTTCATGGTGTTATTGGAAGTCGGTCCGCCTAGCAATCGGGAGGTTCGGAGATCGAATGCCAGGTCACAGATGAGTCCAGTAGCCCTTTAACAGGAGAGACTGTAAAGGATTTCTCTCCTACCTTACTGCCTCCCATCGCGATGAAATTAGAAGCACGTCCGGTTAGCGGTCAAGAGGACCGAAGTTCAAATCCCGGCAAAGTCATTGCTTATTTCTCCTAGGAAGCATTGTAATCACGAAAATTCCGGATATCATATTTCAACGAAAATATCCATTTTGACCGCTATCGAATGCAATTTAACGAAGTTTGGGCGTGGCATCTGTACGTAAGGACAGAATAAAGGACTCTTTTTCTCCAAACGAATAATAAAACTGATTTAAAATGGATTGAGAACAGAATTTTTTCATGGCGTTTGTACGTACATCATGGCGCCGTACGTCTGTACGTACGTACATATGCATGTATCTCGCATAACTCAAAAACGAATAGCCTTAGAACGTTGAAATTTTGTATATAAGACTGCTATAACATATAGATATGCACCTCCCTTTTTGGTTGCAATCGGCAACACCAAAAGTATATAAATATATGTATATAACCCAATCTGTTACTTGGCTCAGTGAGCTCAGTTTTTAAAAATTTTTATATGTTTTTAAATTGTGCTTCCTTTTTTTTTTCTTTTAAAATGATTGAATTATGTTGTTCTTATCTTCCGGTTAATGTTTTATGCCTTTAGTTAATCTGCATGCAATAGTTGTAGAATTATCAACAATTTAAAAGTTGTTTAAGTGAGGCTAAACCTAATTTTTGTTTACCATAGCAACTATATTTGTTTACGTTTGAAACTTAGCAGAATAGTGAATTCAGTTTCTGCACCTTCAGAGCCTTTTTGCCAAGTTGGACCAAAACCATACTTTCATTTTTGTGCACCGAGAAATCTGCCTTGTTGCCTGCTGATCGAATTAAGCCTCTTGTTTTTGCGTAGAAACTCTAATTTTAAATGTAAATTTTTTTATTGTTTTATTTGTATTTGGTGTTTTATTTATTTATTTTTTCTATATTTTTCAATTTTTAATGAAATTATTTTGAGCTTTTATGTATTTTTGCCTTGTCGCGAACTGAGAACAGAATTAATTGAATGAGAAATATATCTCTAATGAAATTCGAGGAAATAAGTTTAAATGAAATGCAGGAAAAACTGCGTATAATTTAACATTCCGTACATGTGGTGTAGACATCAGATTTTTTGATTTGACAGAGCTAATTATTATCCAATTGGCACCGAAGCTAAAATATGTGATGAACGATAATTCATCATCACATGGATATGGCGACTATGTCCAGTATCACTTTAAATAGGGGATAATGTAAGGGAGTTATCGCCTTCCTTACCGTATGTCTTTGTGGAGTAACTGGAAGTCCGACTAGCAAACGTAATGTCCAGATTCCGCATATCAGCACTGTTAATTTTTCCTGTTTCCTCCTTCGATAATCTAGTTACTCTACAAGAGTTCTGCAGTATTTCTCATCCATAGCATCAGTATGAACCAGTTTTCCTTCGAAAATCTTGTATGAAGCTATTTCTTCTAAAGCTGATAGCTTTAAATTATTTTCGTGTGATAACCTAACCAAGCAGCAGATTTTCATAAAAATTCTGATATTTGCTATATGTTGGTTCCATTTATTCTCTTCATTAAAATAACTTAAGGAACTCGGAAGCTACTGAAGTCTGTGAAAAAATGCTTGTTTAAAAAAGGTGCGTGTTTTTGAAGCTTGTCATCTTCTACGTTAATAAATTAAACATTTGGAATTAACATCGTTATGTTTTTAGCATTTAACTTTTGCAAATTAACAGTTTTAAAAAAGAAGTCAACTATGAACAATGGTTCTTAATAACGTAGTGTGCTTAAATATATAGAAAATTATTTTTGTTTCATTATACAGTATGTAATTAAAGCTCTTTGTAGGAAATTGATATATTTTAATTAGAAAAACCATAAATGCTTTTACTTATAGAAATATCAAAATGTCCATAACATAAAGCATAAGAATTTCTCTACATAACTGAAATTCATAGAAATAAAAACACGTTGAAGTTGTTGAATAAAGTTGAAGAAAACTAATACTTGACTTAACAAAGCTTAATCCATTTCTTTTCTAAAATTATAGCTTTATTTGAAAGACAGGTAGTTTATACGTTACCTTCTCTTTTATGTCGAAAAATAAACCTTATCTTTCAGGCAAAAAGAATAAATAATGGGGAAAATATTTCATATTAAGTGTATTCGGAACTAAAAAACGACCTTCTAGAATGATACCACCATTGACGCTGTCATGCCAAGGGAAACGTATAAACAACATGTCATGCACGCATGAATATAAAATTTTTATAATTTTTTTTTAACCAATTACTATACTGATCGTGGCTGATATCACTTTCTTCACTGAATGTTGGTGAAAACTGAATGCATTGAAAACATGGCTAAAATGTCAGAATCTAATGTTTTCAAACTTTCCACAATATATTGATATTTTAGTATAAAAGATTGAATTATTTCCGTATCAAGAGGCTATAATTCATTTGCACAGTTTGGTGAGAAAGAACAACTTCCAGATTTGAGAAATCGCTTCATCTGACAAGAATTTCGTTCATCGTGACAAGTTTTTCGTTCATCTTAGTCTTTTTAACAATTTTTTATTTCCCAATTTTTGAAAAAAATTATGGAGAATACGGTATCTCAAAGTATAAAAACGCACGTATTTTACAGATTTATAATCTAGATTGTTTTCAACTTGGATTCTCGAATATACTCATTAGCGAATTACAAGAACGTCATTCAATCTCCATAGTGGTTGCTTATTGTGAATAATCCCCCCCCCACACACACACACCAATAGAATTTCGCTTTTATGCTTTCTGTCTGACAGAGATTTATAAAACTCAATTTAGTTTATCTCATTTCTTATTATTATTACTTGAAATTAACAGATCAGTTTTAAATGGTGAATACAGATAACAATACTAGGAAGTATCAATAGAGATACCTCTAAATCTTTATATCGATTTAGTATTAAAATGGTAATAAACAAAACTCCAAATTTTCAGACTTTTTTCCAGGTTTTAAAAGCCTGAAACTCAATAACTGTTAATATTTGTCAAATCATGTAGTTTTGTTTACTATGTTTTTAGTTTGCATTAAAATTTAATCTGCAAATGCGATTCATGAACAATGCACATAGCGCCGACATACGGCGAGATCAGCCAAAGTCAGCTTTGTTTATTCATATTCGGCAGTCAGGCTGACTTTTGTTTTCATCTGTGGATAAGAGCTGTAAGCATTTTTGGCATATTTTAGGTAAAATATTAAAGTAGTAATAATTGCTATTACTAAATTACAAAATAAATAATTAAGTATTCCACGTGCTTGTAAATTTGAAGTGCTAAGTTTATATTTGAAAAAAAAAATTGATTACTTTTATAACGCAGCCTTTTACTTCCTTCCTGTGTTGCCATTCTAAATGGCTTTATTTGTCTCCCAACGGATGTGGGCTCTGTACAGTTATCTGAATTATGTGATTTATCAATTTAATTGATCATCTAAAGTTGCTGTGTGTATCGGTGCTGTAAGCAATGAGTACTAAAAATTAACAAAAAGTAAAAGGTAATAGTTTTTATTAAAAAAAAATTTCACCGACTCACCCATTTCACACTGAATGTATACTGACACGTTAATTTACATACATGATTTTTCTGGTGCAAATTCACAATTTTTATGGTGTTAAATTTTATTTCTATTTCGAGATGTAAAAGGTAACACCAGGGCCAGATATATACTTGATGAGACTTTAAGCTATTTGAAATATGGTGCCCTTTATAAGTTTGTTATACTATATTTTAAATTTTTGGGGGACCCTAAGCTATAGCTTGGGCCTAAGTTGTAGCTTATACGTAAATCCCACACTGGATAACACCCGTAGAACAATAACAATGTAATAAACTGTTATCGTTTGCAAATCTAATTAAACTAGCAGTTTATGATACAGGATTACTTCTTCCTTTTATAGATTTTTAAAGATTCCTATATATGTGTTTACTACTAACACAGTGAATTCATTCTCTTGTCTAATACTAATATAAATTGCAACCGAAATTAATGCAAATGATACACCTTAGTAATATTTTGCAGCAAAACATAATGACTATTATGAGCCGCATCCTTTGATGCCAATACTTCGCTGCAAAGGACTGGCAACAGTATGTTCCTGTTTTGTAAAGTGAACTATAACCGTTTATATGTGAACTAGTAATGTGCTTGCATTTTCTGTAAGTAAATTTATGTTTTTGTTATTCTTAGAAAGAGCATTTTTTCTTTCACATATTACAGAACGTAACTCAGTCGGGTCCGTTTTGAAAGTACACGATCGTAATGTTTCCATAACTAAACACTGCAGCAATGTTCCCGATAACAAACAATTACACTAAGTAATTTTATTTACAATTATAGCTATCAGCAGTTAGTGCACCATAAATTAACTTCTTTCAGAAATTTTATATATTCAAGCTGTAGTATGTATCATATTAATTTTCGTAATTTACCATTAATTAATACACTTACTTTATAAGCTGTAGTATATATAATATATAACTTTTTATAATTTAGCATTATTTAATACATTAATTTATATGAAGTGAATTTCTAAAATCCATACTTAAGCAATAAAAATTTGTTGATTTCAACCAAATATCATGAAGTATTATCAAAGGTATACTTAAAAGCAATAAAAATTTGTTGATTTCATTCAAATATCATAAAGTTTTACCAAAGGCATATTTAAGGAATAAAAAACACAAGAAATATTTTTTATAAATTATTTAATAGAAAAACCTTTAAGCTTGAGTCATTTATAACAACATATGTTTAAAATGACAATTTTTCGATCAGCACGAGTGTTTTTATGTTTCACTTCACTTCAAACTATCACAGAGATCACACTATCACACTAGTGGATTGTAAGGCTCTATACATTTCTTTGAATGTGACAATGCAAGACACAAGAAAAATTGTTTCAAATTCAGTCCCAAGACATCAGTATTTTTTAAATGATCCTGGTAGTTATTTTAAAAAAATATTACGGTTTTACATGCTTCAAATTACAAAGATATTTCAGAGGAATGTTTATCAAAAATTATTCTAAATAATGGTTACAAATAATGGTTACAGGGCGTAACAATGTATGATATATGAAATATTGTTTTCATTTCAGTCTCAAAACATTACAATATTTTAAATAATCCTAGTAGTTATTTTTAAAACTATTATGGTTTATGAGCTTCAAAATACAAAGATATTTCAGAGGAATGTTTATCAAAAAATATTCTAAATAATGGTAATTACAAATTTAAAAAAAAAGTTGAGCAAATTTATGGAATGAACAAATGAGCTCTAAGATTCATTTAAAATTGAAATATTCAGAGTAAACATTTTATATAAAATGAAATAGTTCTATCAAAATTTTCATATAAAAATACTTATTTAAAATTGTGTATTTCCAAAATATCTGTTATAACATTTACGATATGTATATTATTCCAGATTCTAATTGCATTTTGGAAAAAAGAATTTAGGTTTGCATTCAAAGCAATATTATTAAGACAGACTGAGCATTAAAATATTATTCGCCATATTGCACATCACTCTTAAAATTACTCTTAAGATACTTTTCTGAAAGTAATTAACAGAGATAACTTGACTTCCAATACATAAATACTCATAAGATATTTTATGCAGTTTAATTAAAAAGTTATATTTTAAATTATGATTACTTTAAAACTAAATAATAAATAAGAATTTCAAAAGTATAAAATATTTAACAAAATTCATCAATTGTTCGTACAATACACAATTTGTTTCAACATATGTTTGCAATCAGTTTTCATTTAAGGCACATTTTTTTTAGAAAATTTATGTTATTTATCCAATACATATTTACTCAATGAACCTTCTTTTCAAGTCATAGCTTGTTTATATTGTAATCGAGTATATTATTCAGATTACTTTTGGTAATTTATATTCACTAAATATTAAGGCACAAAATACTTATAAACATGTTTAGAAATTCTTAACATTATGTAAAATTAAATCACCGGTTATTTACGTTTTAAAATGCAAAAAATTAAACTAAACATATTCATAAATTCAGTCCAAAAATGCACTCCAATTTAAAAAATGGAAAATACAATCAGATGATAGAAACAAGGTGTATAATCCCAATTTTTCAGCAACATTTTTAAAATTATACAATTTCTTGACTTCACGTATATTTGATTTTTTTCCATTTGCAGTACTGCACGATTGCACTACACATTTTACACATATTTGTTCCTGTAAACAACAGTTAAATTATTTTCGAAAACTTTCACACAGTAATTCATCACGAAATGACTAACATAAAAACCAAATGACTTTCTTTGGCAGTGTTATTTCTCTTGTTGACTAGTTTCGAATGGTCTTCTATTTTAACCCACATAAATGAAGATAGTTTTAAAAAACATGTTACATCATGTATTAGACTGTTTGGAATAGATCATACCTACATCCCACACACGAAGATTTTGTGCTGCTCTGGTAAGTTGCAAGATTCCATTTGAAGATAAACCGTGACCATGTCTTAACAGCAGAGTCCTCAACAGCGTGAATTTATTTGTTTTGAGAAGTTTGTTAACTAAACTGTCCGTTAGTCCATAGCTGCAATAGAATTCCAGATGCTTAAGGCACTGGCTGTGGGTAAGAAGAATTTCACAGGCTTCTGGAGTCACCTTTCTACTAACCCTCGGTCTTAAGCGAAGATATCGAAGGTTAAGGAATTGTTTCTTACCACCTCTCCCCATGCTTGTACTAAGAATAGTAAACCACTGGGCACTGAAAGACCTAAGATTTGGACAATAAGTAGCTGTTTTGGCAAGGTCGATGAGGTCGAACCTTTCTAAGCTTAGACTAACAAGCTTTTTACCACAAGCGGCAAGAAGAGGAAGCACTTCGTCCATGTAAGAAATTGGAATAGTAGGACTGTTCTTCAGTTCTAAAGATCTTAGTTTCGACAGCTTTGCGAGAGGTTTAAGATCCATGTCTTCTTGCACTTCCAGAGAAATTTCTTCCAAGTTAGGAAACCATTCCACTACCAATTCTGCAGTGTCTTCACACACTGGAAGGGAAACATGAAAACCTCGGATACTTGATGTTCTTTCACGCCAGGAAGCTGAGTCTTCGGTTTCTTCTAACTCGTCTATCACTTGATCAAGGTAAGTACACGAAATGTATTGCAGATTTGGCAGTATTTGCATAAGCTTCAAAACACCTTGGCCATTCACAGATGAAGGTAACCTCACCTCAATCAAGCTCTCTCGAACACTGTCGAAAGCCGAATTATTTTGCATGGTATTACCAAGGTTTTCAATATCTACCAAGTCGACAGATGGATGCATGATCTCCAATCTTTGCAGTTTCGGGCAGTGCCTGAGAGCGATTTCTAACTCATGACCATCTCTCGTGGTATGCTGCAATTTTAAGTATCGAAGATTAGGACATGATTCCAATATTTGTTTCACTAATGAACCACTGACGTCATAAAACATCCACTGTCCAGCAAGGATGAGTTCTCTCAAGCATGCACCAGTCCTGGTGAGAATTTCTAAGACAGTGCACACATCTTTGAATTTGCAGTCATCCAAACAGCTCAGGTCAAAGGATGGTATACCGGACGATACGAGAAGTTCAGCAGCTTTCAGAAGCTCTCTGCCGGTTGGTTTTAGTCGCAACAGGTGGTTGAGAAGTTCATGTCTGAGGTCGATCGGATACTCCAAGAACGGATTCTCGTCACTTGATTGTGCACTCACGCTGTTCCTTCGACCACGGCTCCATCCGAGAATGGAATCCTTAACCGTACACAGACAACTCTGTCTGAGGCTCCACTGGGGGACGATCTTATCACTTTGCATTGCCGCTGACCACCGGGCAGAGGTGGAGGGATCTGCTATGCTTTCTCCCATGTTAGATGTCTATGCTCTGAATCGAAACACTCGCTAATCGGCGACCAAAGCTTAAAAGAATGAATCGAATCCAGGATGTCGTTCACGTTCGGAAAGATCACGGAAGGATCACGCTCACTCTCCTCAGATAACTTTGTACTATAGTGCGATAAGCGGTTACGCGCTCCTTTAAGTTACTTCTCTTCAGTTCACAATAACTTTTTTTCTTCATCCCCTTCCTCTCACACATCTCCTATCACGCGTAGGGTTGCTGGCAGAAGAGAACGCGCCAAAGCGTGGGAAAGTTTCAATTTCTCTACGGAGCATGCTTTTGTCTTAACTCCGCTCGTTCCCGGTGTATCATTACCGATGTTGGGGTATATTTGACATGCATTGTTCACGTGAATGTGTTAGTTCTCCTGACTTCCTCTTTTTGATGCAAGAATGTTTTATTTTTCATCCTGCTGTTTTTCCTTTTTAAAATTTGAAGCTGGTGGCTTTGTATAAAAATATTTCGGATAGTTTAGGTTTCTAGTTTCTTCTTGTGGCATAATTCATGAACAGAATATTTGGAGGAATTTTGACGAATATTTTCAGATTTTTTCTATTTTTGTTACAATTCAGCTGTTATGTAATAAGTTGCGTCTAATTTTTAAAAACTTTAAAACATCTACATATGGTTTGCCTTTGTTTCTGGGAGACTTATCGAATTTTTCGAAAAATCAGTTCTGTCAGCTCTATATTCTACTATTCAAGGTAATAATACGAACTCCACATCTGAAAGTTTTTCTAATATGGGGGCCGGGTTGGATAAACTTACGCATTTTAAAGCGCTGTAATTGTGATTACTTTATATTGGAGGCTTCCCATTACATGAATTTTGCCCACTTGACATAAATTAGACAAAATAAAGTATTTTTAATCTAACCTTCTTTATCATGTATCGGTTCCACATTTATATACAAAGATTTTAATTAAAATTTAGCGCAGTGTTAGTCTCGAAGTTTTTATTTAGAAACGTCATTTTCGAATTTATTCATTTATTTTTAAAAAATTTTCCTCGGATTTTTCTTATTAAATGTATTTAGTTTGTTATAGCTTTAAATGTTATGCTACGTCTGAGACCAAAGATCTATAACTATATAACTATATTCTGAATTTATTTCGAAAATAATATGTTATTTTACACAATTTTAAAATGAAAAATAAAGGAAGTAAATGAGTTCCAAGTGCGAAAAAAGTATTCATGCGATGACTAAACATTACAAACCCTCAACATTCGATTAATAATTAACAAGAAAATTACTGCGTTAAAACAATATTATACAAAAAGAAAGTATCTTTCTGTTTGTAATCTTACTGCCGTTGAAAATGTTTTACTAAAAAAAAAAAATTATGTATGCTGTGGAAACACTACTTCGTTATTTATTGAAAAAAGGCGCTAAATGAGAAATTACGCAATTTATTTTTCTTTTCTACTAACACCGAAGGGAAGCTATTTAAGTTTATTAAAGCTGTTAACATATAGTTTTCATGCACTTTATTTATATTTTAACAAAAGGAAATCAAATCATTTTAAATAGAAAAAGCATTTTTTTTGTAGAGAATTTGTTTAGGCAACTTTAATAAATACAGAATTTAAATGTTCCATTGTTCTTTATAGTTTTATATTTGTTATGAAAGGATTTTATATTTTGTAATTTCACTGTTACTCAAATGTAGACAGTATAAAGACTATAGTATATTTTTATGTAATGAACACTGATTGATGGTTTTTGTTACTGTTTGCCAGAAGCAACGAAACGGACAGACCACCACCTCATAGCCTTTATGCCTATCGCTGGTCATAAATATTGAGTGACTTAGTGTCTCAGCTCGAATTTGCTATCTAGTTCAGTCCCAGACTTAATTTAAAGTACCCTCGAAGCATGGAATCTGAAGGTCTTGTATCCCCTATTCCTCTACCAACAATCTCTCAACAAATTTTCAACCGAAGGATTTCAAATGCTTCATTCGGCCTAAACACTATTTTTTTTAGATATAAACATTGATACCTGTTGTTGCTACTGATCTTCCTGCTATAAACATAATCGAGATCAGGTTCTGACATGAACATAAAGTTCCAACATGAACTTAAACTCGAATTCGCTATTGCCAAAAGGAAAAGAACTCCTATCATTAGTCATACCTATTATATAAATAAGTATAAATAAGTAGCATTATATAAAAGTATCATTATATAAAAATAGCAGTATATAAATAAGTATAATATAAGCAGTATATAAATAAGTATAATAGCAGTATATAAATAAGTATAACTTATTTATAAAATGTTGAATGTCCATCCGAATTTCGATCAAGAACACTCCAGGGGACGGTATCCAAGGGTCTCATACTGTTTCCTCTGTTACCGAACTCTCGAAAGGACTTTCAGCTGATATTTTTTTAATTACCCCACGCAAGAACACTGTACATTTGCAAACAACTATGACTTCATGACTCCTGGATTCGAATCCGGACCCTACGATATGGCAGTCAACTTCGCTAACCACCGTAGTGAATAGGACAGCCTCGTCTTTGTCTACACAAGCGAGATTCGAATCCGAGGCCTTCAACTTAAAAGAAAGCCTCACTCACTCACTTCAACTTAAAAGAAAGTCCATTATGGTGGTCACTCACCACCATAATGGACTAATTATTATTAGTTAGAACGAACTAGCACTTCTAAAATTAACTCTAACCTAAAATCGAAATTTCACCAATTTGGGACAAAATTTCTGTTTAAAGTTTGAGTTAATTTTAGAAAATTTGTCTATGTATTTAGGTAGAATATAATATAGATCTTTCTTTTCTCTGGATTAGACCCACCAGCGGCCGAGCGGTAAAGTCGCTGAACACTGGTAGTTCGGTCCGAGGTTCGAATCCCGCGAACGGGCTGGCTGCATGGGTGTTTTCGTGGTTTTCCCCATGTATAACGTGTATACGAGCCAGTTTCCCTTAGAAAGTCCTCCACGAAGGTATCCCTCCCTTTAGGCAGATAGCCCTAATAGCCATAGTGTGCTTTGCCATAATTAAATACACCACACCTTTTTTCTGAATTAAAAGTATTCAGTAGTATATTTCTAAATTATTTTTAGTGTTTTCAGAAAAAAAATTAACTAAAATATAAAGACATAAAAATAAAAAAAGGCAGAGTGTTATGGAAATGATAAGAAAATTCATAAAATTATCAAAAGGAATTGAATTAAATCTAAATCAGTGAACAATTACATATTTCAATAATTGAAATTTGTAATATTCTATGTTTTTTGTGTGTCATTCATAAATTGCTCACAATAGTTTTTAAAATGGTAATTCCGCAGCTGCATTATAAACAATTCTTGAGAATTAGTTAAATTTCAATTTCCTTCGTTGTGATTTGAGTATAAAATCGCCAAATAAGTCGATAATTGTGCCAAACCTTTCGGCCCATTTTCAAGCGTCCACGCTACAGTCACGTGCAATGCGAATGGCCAACCGACTCTCTTCCAGCTGGCTGTGACGTCACCTGGAGCATGCATGGAGTGCATGACTAGCACGTGGTGGACTGACTCCCTCATTTCGTTCAAATTCAAGCGGCGGCGTACCCTTATTTTTCCCTCACGGGGAATTCTCCGTTTTTTGTTTTTTGTTTTAATTTTTCTAGCTCGCTGATTAGCATTCGCTTTTAGGCTACTGTCTGCGTTCTTAATTATTTGTTTCGTTTTTAAGTAATATCTATTTGCTATGCAGTTCCGGTATTTTGAATGAATATTACTATAAATTACCGTTTTTTTTTTAATATATATATATAATTATTATTAAATGGAAAATGCGCACCTAAAATTTAGTAAGGAAGCGTGTATGAATAGTAGTTTCAAAATTTTTTTTCTTCACATATGGCAATAAAGTTTGTTAATCTGAAAATTTGTGAAACATTCTTATAGTAATAAACTAAATCTGCTCTCCCCCCAAAAAAGGAGTAAAATAGTATAACGTGTTTATATTACATAAAGATGATAGCGTACAGTTCTTATGTGTATTACCTTGTAAAAATTTAAGTCTATTTAATCAATTAGATTTTTAATTTGTAAAATGATTATTGTATGTTCTTAGAAAATTACATTCGCGGAACATTTACGCAAAATAACTAAGAAAAGAAAGAGCCAGAAAACTTAAACAAACAAATTTTCCATCTGATTTTATAAATAAAGTACTTTTAATTTAAATATTGTGTCTTCCAAGCCCGTATATGAATATACAGTACTAAAATATCTATTTTCGTTTTTAATCAAAATTCAAATTTTTACGGTCTTAACGCAGATCAAAGTGTGTATAAAGTACTTTACTCAAGTCAATGTCTGTAATAGACAAATAAGTTTTAAAATTATAAAGCTTTATGAAACGAAAAGAGATACAAGGTGTTCCAAACAAAAGTATATCCAAATCGAATTTCAGTATAATACGGCTTTTATTTATCCGTACGTGACATAGACGTATATTGTGTTGCGGGACGTGTAACATTACTACAAGAATGCCTGTAATAGTATTACACAGATAAAATTAGCATGCTTTTTGGCTCCGTTTGGATATATTTTTATTCAGAATAGCGTCTAGAATGTTGTATAAATTAATACCTATTAGTATTTTCTGCAGCATTTCTGTTATAATTGTTATTATGTAGAGACATTAGGTATTTTTTGGAAGCAGGAAGGATGAAAAATATGCAACACCTTCGCCGGGATTCGAACCGCGGACCTCGCGCTGAGCGTGAGACCACTACACCACGAGGGCTCGCTAAGAAGGCGGAAGAAATACCTTATAATTATTTAAATAATAATTTTGTATGAATTAATCACTAAACATATTCGTTTCTAAAAATTTAACAATGATTCGCGATCTTAATGATCATTTAAATATCATGACGAAAAATGAGTTCAAACAACGAATACATTTTAATAATAGATTCAATAAAGGTGCTTGAAAGTAAATGAAAAAAAAAAAAAAATAGTGTCTTTTCTCACACCGATTTTTTTGCATTTTATTTTTTATGTAATTTATGTTTAAGTTTTATTGCACTCGAAATTTCTTATTATTTCTTGCTAATACTTTTTTTTTAAATGCAGTCGTCTGTATAAATGGGGTGAACAAATAATAGATTTTTGCAAAAGTGTT